GGTATGTTATTATTTGTATATTTCAGGAACGGATTCCGTAAAATATTTATGTTAAAATTACTTCTGTGTTCATTATAATCTGTCTCTTATACACATCTAGATGTGTATAAGAGACAGGTACTCCATTTCATTATTCTATTATGTTTTTTTATTTTCATTTTTATAATCGTCATATTCTTTGATGGTATGATGTGATATAAAGCATTTTTCTTCATCACCCTGATCACATGACATGTGGCAAGCACAATCTCCTCCACTTTTGAGTCTCCTATGCGTGCATAAAATTTGTAAGCCCAGGCTAAAATTTAAATTACTCGGTAAATATGAAAAATAATCACGTTCAGTGCATGCCATACCAAAATTTAATACGCTCCCATACGCTTTCCTATTTCAAACTCTACTTCTATTTGAACAAACACCCCAGGGCATTTATTCTTGAATGGGGGCTGTTTATTCGAGGGAGGCGTTTATTTTTTTTGTGTAAAATTGATATGTACATACTCAAATAAAATGCCCTTTCATTTCACTGTAAGTGTGGAACTAAAACACATTATTACCAGGGGCGGATCCAGAAATGTCCAAAAGAGGGGGGGCCGGAAGGGGAGCTGAAAGTTGGGCCGATTGAGACAACAGTGTCGTAGGAGGTCCGGGGCATGCCCCCGCAAATTTTTTTGTGTTCTAGACGCCCGAACTTAACATTTGAGGCATTCTGGGCTATCATTTTTTTCTTTTTCTCTCTTTGCCGGGCCGGCCCCCACCAACTAAATCCGCCCCTGATTACTGTCAAAAATGTTATTGCATAATCATGAAGACTTATTGATCAAAACAACCAGCTTAGCAAAAATGTAATTTTTCAGCAGTACAACATTAAAAGAATGTGTTGAGAATGATGTTGCTTCCATTAGACGTTTAGGGGGTGTTTAATTTAAATGAGTCTCTAGAGGGGGTGTCTAATATTTAAATAAATATAGTAAATTGTTGACAGTCAGCACTATCCCATAGGAATTACTGTAACAACAAGTCTAAAACATACTGTAGTAACACCAACATGCATTCATCATTCACCACATACCATGTATATACACAATAGGCAAATGAGAAGGGATTTGAACTTTGACCGCATGGTTGAATGACTGAATAACATACCTGTACTGTAGTAACCCCAACATGCATTTCATCATTCACCACATACCATGTATATACACATTAGGCAAATGAGAAGGGATTTGAACGTTGACCGCATGGTTGAATGACTGAATAACATACTGTAGTAACACTAACATGCATTCATCATTCACCACATACCATGTATATACACATTAGGCAAATGAGAAGGGATTTGAACTTTGACCGCATGGTTAAATGACTGAATAACATACTGTAGTAACACCAACATGCATTTCATCATTCACCACATACCATGTATATACACATTAGGCAAATGAGAAGGGATTTGAACTTTGACCGCATGATTGAATGACTGAATAACATACTGTAGTAACACCAACATGCATTCATCATTCACCACACACCATGTATATACACATTAGGTAAATGATAAGGGATTTGAACTTTGACCGCATGGTTGAATGACTGAATAGCATACTGTAGTAACACCAACATGCATTCATCATTCACCACACACCATGTATATACACATTAGGCAAATGAGAAGGGATTTGAACTTTGACAGCATGGTTGAATGACTGAATCATAACCACTGCACCAAAAGCTCCCAGAATGGTACATTTTAAAATAAAATGTATAATTGAGTCCAAACCCATAACATTAAAATTAACCCTCCCATAGCTTTAACCATTTTCCATCCAAAGTTAAAATTTAATATATTTTCTTTATTCATTTAACTCGTGCCTTCTTTTTGCTTTTCTTGCCTTCATTTTTTAACCTTTTCGTTGTTTTCTTTTTTGGCTCATCTTCATTGAGTGGACTTATCTGATCCCAAACATCATCATCGCTGTCAGCATCCTCTTTTGTCTGTTTGACTTTTGATGAGTTCCTAACAGATTCACTACTATTATTTTCCTTCTGAAAATTAACAAAAAAAGGTCATAATCAGTAATCCAAAGTCGCCCACAAATCATGAAAAGTTTCTGAGAAATCAGCGATCTCCTCCACTATCACAAGCAAGGAAAATAAACTAACCGATTTTCCACAAATTCAGATTGTTTCATGTTTTACTACTCCTTACTCTACTCCTGAATTCAGCTGCTCATGGGTTTCACTGTGCACAGCAAATAATGTGTTAACTCATTAAACATCTTCATGAATTTGCTCCTTCCACCTTGGGAACCCAAGAATTACAGTTAATGGTCAATGTTCATATATTTATATAGCGCCTTCCACAGAAAACCTGTCTCAAGGCACTTTTAAGCCACAAGAAACAATATGTCCCTCCCCTCTTATAAATCCCCGTTTCGCAAAATTTTTAGCCCACGACCCTAATTACATGTCAAGCACTCAGACGCGACCCACCAAAACCGGAAGCCAAATTTCTCACCTGAATTTCATGGTGAAATGATTGAACGGTATTATTATTTTTTAGTTTGAGTGAATTAAGTCAATAAATTACGTCCTTCATTTTATACACGGGAGGGGTATCAGAAGAACCCACTTGATTCTTTTGGAAATCGATTAAAAGATAGGCCTACTCCAAAGATCACCTACACTATCAATTTAAAACCCGTACAAATTAAAATGTAATTACTCGTTTAACCAAGCACATAAGTTATCAAATGTTCCAAGAAGATTTTTAAAAATGAATGATTTACAGACATTTTACTATAGCCTACACAAATTCATAGAATTGCTGCTAGAAATATGGGCTAGGCCTATGCGAAGACATTGACACATTAAATTGAAAAGAAAAATGTTTTGTCATTATAATTTTCAGCTGAAAGCCAAACACACTGAAAGGAACAAAAGAAAAGCTTTCAAGTTGTCATACCTGAAGTACAAATGTTTTGATAGTATATTATTCAACATAATATGCAGCACTTTGTAACCTAATTGAATAGGCACTACATAAATACTAAAACTAGAGATACTATGTTCAATCATGGAGGTATTATTGAGAAGGAGATCACTTGGCAACAGATCCCTTTGACGCGACAAACCTATGTGTTCCCCGCCTTTGGATCGCGCGCGGACGTATTACCCTATAATTCACATTTTTTAGTTAGCAACAACTTGGCAACGACATGCATTTATACGCTTCCAGCAGAGCAGTTGTGCAATAAAACGTTTGATTTTCACCAATTAAATCTCTTTATAATGAACAATGTTCCCCTGATTAGATTTTTTCGGACTTTTAGTATGTAATGATTTGTATATTTCAGGAACGGATTCCGTAAAATTACTTCTGTGTTCATTATAATTCTGTCTAAAGATTGATTGGTTGGACTATAAAGCTAAGTCAGCGTAAAACTGAAAAATACTCAGATTTTTAATTGATTTTTCGAATAGTTAACCCTCGTTAACCCTAAAATGACTTAGTTTATTATAATCCTCAATCATTTATTAATTAATATCTGTTAAAATTAGAATTAACGAATTTTGGCCAATTTATGAAAATTGAAGTTGAAATATACTATACTTTTAAAGGTCATGTAAATGTTCCATTAAATTCGAAACTTTTTTTGGTGGAAAATATTAATATGTTTGATATTTTATGATAGATAAATGTATCAGCTTCAAAATTGAAATGATTGCGCAGCCATAGTGATTGACTGTATGTAGTGCGCATCGAGAAAAGAAGGTGCTCTCCATTTTGCCATGTTCAATTTTTTGGTATAAACTATGCCTGCTGAAAATTTGATGGCGGGGAACACATCGGACTCCAAAGGCATCGCGCAAACGTTCTACACTATTGTGATTTTTGACCTATAGGTGCCAGAGTAGTTTTTCATGTTTAGAAGGTTTTAAGGATCATTCCTGGTAAATTCGAGCTTAATTGGGATATTTTGAAAACGTGACCCCGATGACCCCTATGTAACCACTAATGCCCGACAGGGGTATGGGAGGTGTCACTGGTTCTTAATGATCAAATTTGATTGAATTCGGTTCAATGGTTTGCCATTAGTAACATTTTGAACCTTTGACCTATGAACTTTGACATATGGGGTGAAGAGTGTTTTTTCGTGTTTAGAAGGTCCTAAGGATCATTCCTGGTAAGTTTGAGCTCAATTAGGTTATTTTGGAAATTTAACCCCGATGACCCCATGTGCAAAGGACAAGACTGAGCTACGTTATTTGTGAGACAAGTAGTCTTTTATACTATTTTTGGTTTTTTTACCCTAATGCCCCTTTGAACCCAAGTTGTGAACAACACATAAATGGAGGGTGGCACCGGTCCTACTGACTAAGTTTTAATTAAATCAGTCCAGTAGTTTGCCACTAGTAGCCTTTTAAAATGTTGCCAGAAAGAAAGAAGAAACTGCTCGGAAACAGAACCCAGTCAGCATGCTGCTGACTGGGTAATAACAAAATAACAAATAAAACTGTGATAACAAATGCATTACAAAAATAAACTGCACTTTCGTTTACTGTAAATTGATTTCGTTTTCATGATCTGAAGAGATTATGCGACCCATTTAAATGTTTCCGCGACCCAAACATTGGGTTGCGACCCATAGGTTGCGGAACGATGTTGTAAATGATGGTATAAGAATTTCTAATGAATGAAACCCTCTAACACTATTTATTGTCAATATGAATGAAAAATGATCATACTAGAAATAGCAATTAAAAATCAATAGTTTTAAAATTTTACCTGAAAATGTTCTGTGCATTTGACTAAAAGACAATTCAATTTGGATTTAAGATAGACCTGTTGAAATATAAAAAAGAACAAATTACATCAAATAGATAAACGTAATAAGGTACCTGTCCAAACAACAGAACCAAACTGCACAGCAAGGAATTCAGAATCCAAATCCCTAGGTTGGGATCTCGAACTATGACCCATGCACCAACCACTCCCACAGTATAATTAATAGATTAAATGATGACACTCATAATTTTTTGATGTTTCATTATGAAAATCGCATTATTTTAGTAGTTTTCGCGATTGATCAAATCAAAAGAGGACATGCTTTTAATTTTCGCGCAATCGTGAAAATTAAGTTCGCAGGACAAAAATAGTTCACTATCACAAACCTTGTGCGCAACATCCGCTGTGTGTACGTTATGAAGACGAAGAAACCTATCAAGACCGCACGTTGCTACCATTGGTTCTGTTGGGTGGAGACTAATACAACGTATACTACCGGCGAATCCTGGGTAAACTTTTAACACTTGTTTGTTCCGGAGATCAATACGAGCCAATCTGCCTTGGGTATTGCCAACAAACACCGATCTAAAGATAATGATAATAAAAATAATAATAATAATAATAATAATAATAATAATAATAATAATAATAATAATAATAATTTATAAAGTGCCAATATCACTAAACCAAAGTAGAAGTAAAAGTCGCTGTGCATGTTCAAATGTTTAAAAAGTTTTTGAGTTTGGTCTAAAAAATAGCAACTGAAGGTGAGTCGGTAATATGTTTTGGGAGGGACTCCAAAGTGTGGTAGCTGAAAATAAAAATGATCTGTGGCTGTAGGATTTGGTGTTAACTCTTGGAACAATGAACAAATTAAGGTCAGATGAATGGAAGGAGGTTAAGGAGACATATTTAGGAAGGAGTTCGAATAGGTATTAAGTGGGCAGTTGGAGTCGCAGTGCTTTAAAAAAGCAAAATTTTATACTTTATTCGTGAATTAATTGGAAGCCACTGCAAATTATAGATGATGGGAGGACAACAAAATAATATTTTCTCTTTTGTATAAACTTAAAAACAGGCACACACTGCATCATGTCATACAACATAGAACAAAATCCATTTCCGTTCTTTGTGAGCGTTTGATGACGAGATAGTGCAATGCTGTCTGCTGATGTGTCTTTATGGCAGCTAAGTAATCACAGACCACGGCCATACGCAATTCAGCACAATAATATTATTAGTCACTGTGTTCTCCTAAGTTTACCATTAAAAACAATCTATTGTGCTCCTTGTTACATTGTGTTCTGCATGGACTTGTGTCGGCCGACAAAAATTATTTAATAGGCCTAGATAAGATAAATGAAAAACATCAACAATATAGTCTTATTTATTAACAATGAAAATGTCTCTCACCGTCCATCTGTGGAAACTTCCACTGCAGTGATTGGATATTCATCATAGGTCATTTCAAACACAGGCCTTCGTTGACTATCGGGGTCATAGATCCTAATCTGCGGTGATAAACGGAAATAGATTTGATCCAAAGTCATGCCTCAATCTGAGCTACAGGGTCTAGACATTATCCTCCCCCTTCATAATTAAATTTAATCTAAATCATAGATTTTTTTAAACAATAATTCAGATTAGTAATTAATACTGTACATGTAATAATATAATAATACTTGGAAAAATAAAAATGAATCAGAAAGCGCACATAAAAAAAATTATTAGATTATCACTCTTTTTAAAAAAAAATGATGAGGGAGGGCAGGTTTTTTTTTAAATTGGAACAATAGATTATTTCGCTTTTGTTTTTATCGATGAGGGAGGGACTGTTTATATTTGGTCTCTATTATATAAAAACTGGTTTAATTTTATAGTTTTTTAAAGAAAATGTATTTGAAGTCACAAAATTGCATTGTCATTTTTATGCTGTTGAAATAATTGATGCGGCAAAAAAAAAAATTTTTTTTTATTCCTGCATCAATATTTCCTGAATTTTTGACGCAGACGGGAGTGATAATCTAATAAATTTTCTATTTGCCGTAAGGTACACTTATTAGCTTGTTTTAATAAACTAATTCATTACCTGATGATGTCCTGTACCAGTGAGGACTTTTGTAGACTTGGGTAAAAATTGAACATCAGTCATCCAAACAGGTACTTGTAAATCTAAAAAGTCATTCTTTACCTGGAAATACAAAATGTAAATTGTTGATTAAGATTATGATGAGTGGTGGTGATGGTGATGATAGTAATGTTGGTAATGATTATAACAGTGATAATGATGATATTGATGGCAGTGATTGTGATAAAAATGATTGAGATCATGATCATGATGCTGATGGTAATACTGATGATGTTCTGCTGATGATGATGATGATGATGATGATGATGACGACGATAATAATGATGGTGGTGTTGGCCATGATGCTATTGGTAAGTTGCAGCTGACAGCGATGGCAAAAGCAATGATGGTGGCGACTCTATGAGACATGTTATATTTGTTAGTAGTGGGGATACAGATCTAATTAATCAACTAATTATCTATTAAATGAAACATAATACAGTAAAAGCATTTAAGTACTAACGTTTTTCGCTTTAAATATTGGTTCATCTTTGTTGTTAATATCCCAAATTTTTAAATCATTTTCTTTTCCACCGGTAGCAAATACATTGGGCTTCTCCGCATTCTTTCGCATCTTGCACACATTTTCACCAACATTTATTTCAAAGTGCTAATAATTAAGAAAGAAAATCATGAAAAAATCAATATTTCAAATGAATAATGACAAAGAAATGATGAATAAATTAACAAAGCAGTTATTTGCTTTTCTGATAATTATGTTCTATAATATTAATAATTTTTAAAATAAGTTTACGAAACAAGGTATAAGAAGTCTCGCTTGCAGTAAAGTTGGGAACAGAATATAAACTATATTCTGTCAGTGACAACCAATGACAACCAATTTGTCATCCATTAAGAATGGTCAATTTCAATAATAATTTTAATACATTTTATATTCTTATTCTTATTCTATATAAACAACTATGATAAAATACATCTTGACATGAATTACAATGGGTAGTGGTTAGCTTGTTGACCATCGGCCGATTGAAATTAGCAGGATGGCAGGATCATTGTATTTTTTCTTGAAAACTCAGATGAGAATGTGCTAAAGGTCGGAAAAAGAAAAAGAGGAGTCGGACTACATAGACAAATATGTAAAAGTGTAAAGTTGGAAATATACTGTCTGTCCAGGGATCGAAGCTCTCACCAGTCCAAGAGAAATATCCTCATTTTGATATTGACCTAAGAAGAATGTGTTTCCACTCTGCAGCTCAAATCATGCCAACAACCACAGTCCCAGGATTGATTGGATAATTGACTTACTAAAAAGAAAATCTTATGAAATTATTGAGGGGGCGCTTATTCAAATTAGAAGGGACGCTTATTCAAACGGGGCACTTAAAGAAATTTTCATGTTAGGAGGGGCGGCTATTCGAGAGGGGCGCTTATTCGCGCGAGTACGGTAATAAAATAAGAATAATTTCTTACAGCATCATCTTTTAGGTTATCCCAAACTTTCATTATTCCTGACTCGGAGCATGTGATGATCCTATCACCATGGACACCAATACCTTTTAATGCTCCTTCGCCCCCAAAACACTCTTTACTTGATTTAAAACATTTTTCTTCAGTGTCAAATGTTTTCACGGTTTGATTACGAAGTCCAAGGTGGATCTGAAAGAATGCATTGAATTTTAACCGAACAATGTGGAAATATGAAACACATTGAGATAAATATTGGTTTTCCAAAAATACTGACAGAGGTCCAACAATATGATCTGAGTGAAGGTTTCACGTAGGGCCTCATTAGATTTATGATGGTAAAACTGTGATTTTAAATAACATTAGGAGCTGGAATCACAATAACTTTGGATTATTTTTTTTGTCATAATGACTTTAAGTGGCATCCAATGACTGGACCGTCCATGGTTGTCCGACATTGGGGGTTGTCAGTGCATTAAGCACAATTTCAATAGATTTAAAAAAATTGAAATCACCCCATAACGAGGCCTGAAAGACACTTCCAGGTAAGGGGTTACTTAATCACTAAATTTATATGCCATGAAGTACTGGCATCTAGGGCTGAAACATAGCTTCAGCCACTTCACAGCCTGTCAACCATGCAAGTTGTGGTATCTAAGCATGGCCAGCCGAGATTGGTCAGTGTGTAGTTTGAACTGCTGACCCCAAGTTCAAAAACCAGAATAGAAACCGCTGAGCCAAACCGCCTTTCCGATACGTACATTATTACTATTAATTGAATATTTCCTGATAATACGGTAGATGTTGTGTCCAGGGTGCTTACTCCATGATGGATTTCTAAGAAATACAATACAAATGGGATGTTGTATATTTAAAGCCGAGCATACTGCATTTGAATAAATACGTGCTAGATAAAACTGTTTATTATTATTTTTTTTTTTTTTTTGCTGTTAATATCACTATCACATAAATAATAGTATTAGTAATGGTCATCATCATTACATAGGTTACCAACCTGTGTCTGCTGCTGATTGGCCCAACACATGCACACAATTTCCTCCTCTTTGTTTAATTTGTTGAAATCAGCATAGTTTACAGCAACCTTTTTTTCTACTTCCACCTCTAAAAAATAGAAAGTACAGTACTACCCATGTGAATATAACTAGCTACAGCCTATTTTTAATGCTATACCTACGTGTTGCTACAGTATCTCATTCTCATTCACAATATTGACTGCATGCATTTTCCCTCTACAGTACAACCTCCCCTTAATAAAACCTCCCCCCTTTAAAAAAGACTTTCTTTCTTAAGTGTCCATAGTGGCGAGGTGATGAGTTTGTTAATTAAGGTTTTATTTTGCTAGCAGCATTTGTGTTGGGCTAGTGGGTGGAGGAGCGCATGTTTGCGGGAGAGAAATTGTTACTTAAGTTATTTAAGAAATGGGGATATTATATTTGCAAAATAGGAGTTAATTGACATGTAGTGGCATATCTAGGGTGCACGAACAGCTCGCACCACTCAGTTTCCGCCCTTTCCCACACCACCCTTACCAATTTAAAGTAAGCCTACCTTACCTTGTAAGCCTTACCTAGTTAAAAATCATGTCATACCACATTTATTATTTTACCAGCTACTGTATTTACCCTCACAATATTGCACGAGCATCGATTCCCATCACTATCCCTAGATATGCCACTGTGAATTGAATGTTAGTACTAAGTTAAAGGTACAGTATAGGCCTAGGCTAGGCTTGAGAGGCCTAGGGCCTATAAGCGATACGTCTACCTTCACTTTCAGAGACTTCTTTACCTCGCTAGGCCTAGCCAGGCTACTAGGGCCTAGGCCTACAGTACGTACAGGCCGGCCAAGTGGCAAGGCTAGGCCTAGTAGGTGGCTTATGATGGACACATTACATTTTTGTGGCATAGACATTCATAAGTACAGCAAAATACCTATATAGCTTGACAATACACTAATATATAAACAAAAAGACAAGAAATAACACATACGTTTGAAAATACCGGTTCCAGAGCCCACATACACGTTCGTCAACATGGAGGCAGACATTTTGAATTGATTACCACATAAATAGAGGGCTCACTTTATAAAATATAACGTTTTTTCCTTTCGCACAGCAACTACTCGGAAAGCGCAAACCCACATCAGAAATGCCCATCAACCAACTACCCCGGTCGCAACAGCACGACCAAGAATGCAGCCCCGAACAAGCACTCCACCCCGCGCCATTTCAACAACAGAGAAATCCGTCATTCCCAATACTAAGTGTAAAAATGTTCAATTAAAAAGAACATAAAGCAAACAACAAAAATAAAACCCAGAGCTTAGGGGGCATCCTTGTTTTCAGCAATGCAAGGCACTCAAATCAGAGATGACATTCCACCTTCCCAGAAAAAACATGCAACTGAATAATGGTTTTGTCACCCGGTCCCCAGTAAAAGAGCATATTATGCTCAAACAGTGTAAGCCCTCCTCTCTCCCCACCCAAAAGTATTTTGCGATCTTTTAGACTGAGAGTACAAAGGACAGACCCTAAGCAACTTGCACATAAGAACTTCATAAATTATTCCTAGGCTTCCATGCTCTTTTAACATATGATTTGCAAAAACTTGTATAAAAATATTATCAACATCAACATTAAAGTAGCATCACATTTCCCCCAATAACAATAGGCCTATTTTATTTAGTACAAATAGGCCTACATGGCGACAAAATACTCCCAAATTAATTAGCAATCGATATTAATTAACTTATTTTCTAGGTCATTATATTCTTCAATACTAATGGTATTAAGTTGATTACATGTGAATAAGAAGTGTTTTATATTATCAACACCATTGTTGATATTATCAACACCATCATTGTTGGGTACCCATTTTCACAGGTCATGTGACCTAATGGACGTGTATTTTACCTAAGTTTAAATAGGCTTGCACCTGGAAAATCTGTCTGGTTGTTTCCGTACACGGACTGGTGACCTAAATAAAGAATATTCTAGGAGTGTTGATTTTCTTAGCATTTTGCTATTCCGAAAGGAAATATCTGAATCATGAATTAACTCTTACATAAATCAGGCAAATTAACCCAACATAAATCAGGCAAGCTCCAAAACATTAATTTTCAAGAATTGAATCAACGTCCAATCCAATATCAGCACAATGTCTTCATAAAACTAGAAAGCAGCTTATTGCATGGTTCAACAATACTATACTTAAGGATGTATCAAGCATACAATTTGGCATATATATCTAAAATTCATTAGATGATTAATGGATTTGGCTGTAAGTATGCCTTGGTTTACTTCATTGGCACCCAACCTAGATCACCATAATGAGAGCTTTTCAGGCGTGTTTTTAGAAGCTTTAATAATATACCACGCCATTTGTAGCTGGAGGGACTCAAGTTTGTCAATGTTTTTTCTGCCTTGACTAAACTAAACGGAAGAAGCATTAATACTGGGAAGAGTAATGGCTTTCCATATGTCACTATAATAAATTCTATTAAAATTATTTTAATGTAGGCGATAATTATATTACATTTTATGATAGTTTCGTCACATGTGAAAATGGTCTGAAATGCTTCTTGAGAGGTATTTATATGATTCAACTTCTGAAATAAAGTTTTCACTCAATTTCCACTGCTTATTATTGTCAATGCGTTGCTGCCCAACAATAAGATTTTTTTTTTAATTTTTCATGGTTAAAATAAATTCATTGTTGTCTTCGAAAATGTAATGTAGAAGCTATAACTAATCACCTCATTCAGTTCATTTTTATCATTTGCCAACAACATCATCTGTCCAGAAAATGCTTGCCATGCATACAAATTGTATACCCAAGGTATTGAACCCCCGGCCCGCCAGCTAATTCCGACCCGCCAAAGATTTTGATCCGGCCAGCGCAACATTGCTAACAATAATTTTTCCTGCTGATATATATAAAACGTTTTTCTGTTAATAGAAACACAATCTATTAGATCTAGCATTGTTAACAAGAGTGTTAAGAGTATATCACTGTATCTGTGCGGTAGAGTATTGACCGTATAGGGAGGGGGGACTGATGGGGATAATGGATTAAGTGATATGATGCAATTTCTAACCATTTGCCAATCATATTTTTTTTTGGGGTATATTTTATTGAGATAAAAAACATCGAAAACACAATCTTTGGCAGCATTAAGCTGAATTGTAGATTGGGTAATTGATTGTGGGGGCTGAGGTAAAGAAGGGGCCCTTAAAAAAATAATTTAGCTTATGTGCCGTTGGCACATAGAGATCAAACAAATTATAAAAAGATACAATAATCAGTACCGTAATAATTTATTAAGACTTATTCCTCGTCATAACAAAACATAACTTCGCAATGTGATTTCAGGTTGATCACATAAACAGCGGTATAAACTTACGTGTAATGTTCTAAACCATAATCACTGCTATATAAATTTTCTTCTTTCAGTTTTCTTTTTTTAAATATATACATCTTCACAAAATATACCAATTTGTAATAAATTATAGTAGTTACTGTTTGTTACCGGTACCGTATTTTATCAACAACTTGGCAAGTTTGGTAACGGTAACTGTATGCTAATAATATTGATTATTTGGAACTCAACATAAATAATATATTCGATCATAACCATTAAACAGAACTGTGAGGATAACACGAAAAAAGGTACTTCCATTGGGATCCTCTATAGGCCTAAACACATAACTGAGCGCAATAACATTAAAAATAGACAAAAACCTTTTACAAATATATAAAATAATTCATCATATTTGTACTATCTATCAACAAACTAATTTTATTTTTGTAAATAAAATTCACTAGGGCTAAAGGTTTTCTGAGTAACAGTTGTTTTACTATATTAGTTTCGCTTATGAGCATGAAAGTGCTATTCCCAATAAAAATTCATGCCTAGAGACTACAAGCATAGATTTAATATAATAACTATCGTAACATCGTGACATCGGGCTAGTTTTAAACAGGCGTAGCATCTTTTAATTCATATTCTTGATTCATGACAATCAGAAAAACACCCCGGCCCCCCACCCCTGTTTCATGCGAACAGCCTTAATTGGTCCTTTCATTTTATGAATGTTGTTTCTGTGAAGTATTTAAATGCCTTTGTTGCAGAGAATAAGATGTAGGTTTAAATATATATTTTCAAAGCAACTGAAATCTATGCACATACACTTTTTTGTTATAAAACATTAAACTCTGTTGAACAAAGTTATAAAATGTTGTACTTAAACTTTGTTCGAGAAACGGTATCCTGATACTAGGCCTGCTTGATACATTTCACATAATGCTTCACTGTAAACAGAATGATGCGCGTTGCAGTAACCTTATCTCCCCAGTAAACAGCCTAGATACTTATTTGAATTCAATTAAAATATCTAATAGGCCTATATTTATTGTTGCATTGTTTAAATCCTTTTCGACACATTTTATGAATATATAACAGACCTACTTTATTGAATTTACTAAATTTAATTGTCTCATTTTTTTAAATACCAATACAATGTGGCCCTATTTTTTTTTTAATGGTTTTATGCTTTTACGTTATTTTATAGCTTAGTGACTAATAATTTGCGCCATAGAATATAACCATTAACCATTGTACGGATCATACAATGGTGAAGAAAAGGTAATGTTTATAAAAATAACCTTTGTTCACTGAGTACAGCCTCTTCTCTTAGGGAAATAGTAAAATAGAGAAACAGATATGCTTGCAATTTGTCTCATTCTGTAACGTGATATTTTGCAAACATCAATATTTAAGAAATGAAAATATTTATACAAGTGCAATATTGCACACGGAACCAAGGTTTAAACGTACTCATCCATAAAGACAATGAGCTATTGTGACTTTGTATCAGCCCTCCACCTGAAATTTGAAAGAGTACCAAGTGTCTGAAAGACTTCCCATGCTTCAGAGAACACACAAGTGGCTAACCGACTGGTAATTATTAATAGGCTGTTGCACTTTCAATCATCAGATAAGTAGAAAATGTCATGGTGGATTTTTTATATATATACCGTGGAGGACAAGAGTTCAAACTAGAGTTATTTTAATATTCTCTTTATAGATGAAAGAAAATACAAATGACACGATTTAATTATTCAAGGCTTCTTCACTTCATATCACAAGAAAAAAAGAATAGTTTATACAAACAACAGAATTTAATTAGTTATACTCTACCTCACTTTTCATAGATTTTAAAATGGTTATTTTTGTATCAGTGAGCGACAGGAGGACAAATGTAAATTAATATAGCCATATCACCTCTGTTGATATAACTGCTTGATATACTGTATTTGGGATTTTTTTTTCCTGTGTTATAACAACACTTTCTTTTCGATGACAAGTGACGGTTGATGCAGTGGTTTTTGGGCCTCGTGTCAAAAGTTAGGCCTCCTGTAATTGGCCTGGAAAAATCTTAGTTATTTTGAGCTTGGAAATTCAATGGGGATTTCGCCCCCCCCCCCCCACACCCCGTTTAGAGAATTCGGCCTGGGGAGTGTCGAATTCAGTAGGAACGTTACTTATAGGGAAAGACAAACTCACTGAGTCCCGAATGATACGGTTATATGTTACACCGCTCTCAACCGATGACCGAGCGGTCTATTTGTTTGCTTGCGGTTCGGGCCTACGGTGGTACCGTATATTATTTTTTACATCTCCCTGGTATAATTCTGGAAAGAACTGTGGTTTTTGTTGAGAATGTTTCAAATGTCTTTAACAGGCCTACTTGCAAAAACCAAAAGGCCTAATACATTATTTTGACAATTATAAGTAGGCCTATTTCATTTTAGTTAAAAAACCAAAGCAGAGGCTTTATGTTTCCGTGAAATACAGAATTTTAAATAATAAATACACATAATACCCCAAGATCCTTGTTGAGAGCCAAATGATTGAGATTAGGATCTCGGCAAGCTATTAAATAAAATCATGGTGACCGACAGTGTTAGGATATCAACTGGACCCGACTAGTAGAGCCTGACAACGTCGAAGGAGCTTGGCTAGCAGAGCCCGATACTGACGGGGTCCGATTAGAGCCAGGTATTGACTGGGATCGACTAGCGAAGTCTGATGTTGAAGGTTCTCGACTACCTGAGCGCGACGTCGATGGGGCAGAGTCTGTTATCGACGGGGCCTTATGAACAGAGTCTGATATTGACGGGGTCTGATTGCCAGAGCCCGATATAGAATCCATTTTGTAATCTTCCATTGAGCCAGTATAATGATATGTGTCTTTTCTTTCATCCAAATCGTCTTCGTTGTTGTCATACATTGCGGACCCATCTACCTCGCTAACAGCATTCTCGTCAATACCGTCAATCGCCTCTGGCAAATCAGCGGACGGGTCCACAATATACGCCTTGTTTTCTATGGCATAGTTCGTTTTCTCAATCAACACACTCTCGGTTGAATTATGGCTGAAAAAAAAGATATATTTAAACATTATTATACAACAATCATAAGTAAAAATACGAAGGAGCCTCTGTAAGACTGAGAACAATGAGTTGGTTCTAAAATGCACGAATTAATTTCATTCATCACTCTAAATTTACTCATAATGAAAGTACTAATATTACTTTGATTGATTTGATCTATACTGACGTTCTGGGGCCCTAGTCTTACCCTCGTCGTGTATTCGAAAGCACTGTATTATTTAGTAGAACTTACGCTTTTGGTTGCTGGATGCGTTCAATACATTTACAAGTTACGAACAAGAAGAGTAGAGTAACCAGTATGACACCCCATAAGCCACCAAAAATTACTGCAGCTATTTCGGCCTCTGAATAATAAACGAAAAAATACAATTAATGCGTTTTGACTTAATTTTCGTTTCCTCTACAAAAATAACTTTAATTTAGTAATCATCAAGATTTCATCAGATTATTTAGATCTTATTATTTTTATTACTTACAATACCGGTAGTACTGTATTACTATTGTTTTTTAAATAAACAAATGGGGTAGGTAATAAATAGGTTAAACTATTAACAGATAAAAGAGCCTGGTTTTCATAAAACCGCTACAGCGTTTTCATTTTAATTGTGTCAATGCGCAGCTGTCCTCGACTCAACGGAATGTCACCGATTTGACCAACCAATCAGCGTCGCCAAAAGCTCGGCGATAGCGTGTAGCGATTTTATGGAATCTACACTTAAGCCCGGTTTCCTTAAAATCGCTACACTGTCGCTACATTTTTTTCAGTCAATTGTTGTACTGCTCCCCGATTCGAACGACCAACCAGCATCACCGAAAGCTGTCGGCGATGCGCGGCGTGAGGGATTGTTGTATGCAAATTAAGCTTATAGCGACTTACGACTCCATTTGTCAATAATCTGACATCGTGCACCATAGTAGTCGGAGCTTGAGCACCTAAAATGACAAATCCTTATTTATTATATAAAATGATGAGTTTTTAGAGCATTTTAAAACATTTCAATGGAAAAACAACTTCAAAACATCACAGGTAAATTGTTCTATACATTGCTGCATAGACAACTTGAGAGTTCGAATAGGCCTATAAGTTTAGGCTTATCAGTTGTTTGATTAGCTAGCGCTTATGAGCATATATGTAAAAGATCAGTTGAATAAAGTCATATATGTAGGCCTATGTAAAAAACAAGCAAGCAATTTTGAACAGAATTAGAGTAAATTTGATTGTACGAACGTGCATCCTATTAGATTACCCTCGGCGACGCATCTTGCATCATTCAGACAGTAATCTGCGTTATCCTCACACACTGCGTTACAGTTCAGACCAGATGCCTGGCAAACCATTTCATCAGGACACGGGAGGGTATAACATGCATCCAGCGTCACATATTCACCTGCAAACAAAGTGTATATATAATGTTTTTTTTTTTTGTTTTTTTTTTGTTTTTTTTTTAATACCAAAAGGAGATCACCCCTTCCTAAGACCTGTATGTACTCCACTACATTTTATGATTCATTCATTATAGAAGAAGAATCCATATTCTTTTTGTAAGTGATCACAATAGAAGCTACAGGCAAGTTTAAAAGCAAGCCTATTAATAATAATGTACTGTACTGCCAAACCTAGGGTACTTTTCATCGTAACAATTGTTAAGAATTAATTGTTTTAGATATTGCATGTTAAAAATCATCATATTTTCTAATTAATGTACTGTATAACCATTGAAAAGAGTTTAAATCAATACTGAGTTTTCCTTAACTGTATCATTACGGGTTTCATTCCTGGTATCTATAATATAACCTTTCAGTATTCTACAACATCAGTCATCAGAAAAGAACACAATATAAGCTATAAAAGAATAGTAGTAAGCCTACATTATTATTTTAAACAAAAAACTCACCATTCCCACCAAGGACGAGCACATCGCCAACAATGAAATCTCCCAATTCACCTGTCACTGTTTGTTGTAGCAGTATGTCTAAATAATAACGTTCCATTTCAGCGTCAACATTGTCAAAAAAGGTGAGCAGCAAGTTTGTTAACACGCTCCCTGAACTTGAAAAATAAGGTTAAATTTATGTTCAGATCATAGTTTTGCTTATCAAAATGGCAGCGGCGTAGTTAGGTGCAAAAAGGACCCCAGTGCAAGATTTATCGCCGGCCCCTATGATGTGATAGGGGAATTCCCTAAAGTTCTCAGAAAATTCATCCAAGAAGTGCTTTTTACACCCTACTCCTAAAGGCTAAGCGATACTAATGATAATCGAATTTGTAGTTATTTTAAGAGGGCCATATTCGGTCTAAGCAGCTGTTCTAAACTAATCAAGAAAAATGGTGGCATGTAAAATTTACCACCAGAAAGACAAAAATGGCACTCTTAACATTGTGTTGATTTTACGTAGGCCTTTTTTTTTTTGGTCCGGTAGGGGTATTAAGCTTCCTTCCCCTGCTGTCACCACCACTGGGGCCAGGAAGGGAATTTTCACGAGTGGAGGGTGAAGCCCACCTCAATGAGGTAAGAACATTTATGATTATAGCACATCCAGCCGGAAATGGTACTCTCACACTTAAATTTTAATATAAATTCCTTTTTCCCCATTTTTTATAGGCCTAATTTTGAAAAAGTAGGGGGAGGGAGCCGGGCCGGGTGGGGCCACCTTGAATACACCACTGAATTGAAATCAACACAATAATCAATAATTACTCCTCTTAAATCCGAATATCGTTGAAGGGCCCGCTGGCCTGTTTTTTGTTTTTTGGGTTTTTTTTCTGGTTTTTTTTTTTTGTTTTTCTTTTTTTTTGTTTTTCTTTTTCTTCTTCAAAAACATGAAGTTGAAAATTATTTTAAATTATAATTCTTAGGTTTATTTATGAATGGGCCCCTAATTGCCTCGGGCTCCAGTGCTTTGCACTGCCAGCACTGCTAATTGCTACGCCACTTAAAAATGTTGTAGCAATGCCTGAGCCACTAATTGTTGTTAAACGAAAAGGGGAATTAAGTTGTAGGTTAGTGGTTCAGATGCTCGCCTTCAAATCGTAGTGTCTTGGGTTCAAATCCCGTGACAAAAAAAAAACTTAACCAAAGCGGACATTTTTTTCTTTTCTGCGGGTTTATGTAATCTTTTTTTTTGTGATGTATCAAAGGATTCCTACAACATACGAATTAAAGTCTGGTTGTTCCTTTAAATTATTTATCTGTTTTTATTTTTCTTCAATGAAATGAATGTTATGTTTGATTTTATTAAAATTATAACAGTTACCTAAACATGTTGACAACACTGCTGACAAAGTTTTCCTCATCTTTATACAAGTCATCAATCTAATTAAAAATGAATCAAATATTTACAAAGTTTTTAAATAGTTAAAAAGTATAACCAATAGCTCGCAGCGTCATTGTGCTGAATTGCGTATGGGCGTGGTCTGGTCTGTAACTATGAACCATAGCATGGGGGTAACCTCACTCTTCTGAAAGATGCAATGGGTTCATTAACGCGCACACTAGCCAGATGTACACCGGACCTCCCGTGTTTAAGTCTGTCTATAGGAGAATTAATGATTTTACCAACGGAGCACTGGGCGAGCAGCGGCTAGAACCAGCGCCGATTAGCCTAAACCTGTAATTTGCGGCTCCCCTGCCGTACCGCTCGACCACTCGAGTTATACTCGAGTTATACGGTACATAAATGTAATTTCAATAAAGTAGTGTGAATTGATGCTCTACACACTTGCTCCAAATGTAGGTTCTCGTCCTTTTTGCTTTGTGTCATTTCGCCCGAGTCACATGTTATCGTGAGCAAAATAAATAATAAATTTAACAACGGAGCTTGTTGGTGCCAAGTACTTCTGAAGAGGGGAGATGTTGGTTTGGTTTAATCACAACTATCGTTTACACTATCCCTTTCACAAAAAAATAAACGCTACAGATCGAGTAAACATGAGAAATGATTGGTAAATGGTTATTCACTCTTTACCATTGTCTGCTAGTTTTAAATAAACTCTAGGCCTATATGTACAAACATGTCAACTGGCCATTAAAGTTAAACTCTCAACAATAGCTGATGACCTCAACAAGACGCATGATCGACCTTCCGATAGTGTGTCAGCGAACGCATACCATAAGGTTATATCAAAGCCAATCACATTAAGCCTGGTTTCCATAAAATCGCTACAATGTCAGTAATGTGTCTTCACTGCAATTATTACACGGCGTAGCGGTCCCACAAAAGCCAGGCTTTACAAAGATGTTAACAATATGGAGTTTTCGCAAGCTTACGAAAACAATAACGAATACGGTACGACTACTTCATCAAATGTATTTTGTGATTGTAGCATATCTGTCACAACGTGGGCATATGTCAAGAATGGTTTAGGCACGAATGATGATAATGATAATGACGTATGCCTATTGGTTATCGTTTTGTAAGGTTGTGAAATCTCCCTATACTGTAAACCAGAATGATAAAGATAGACTCAACATTATTATGACGTCAGTTCGTGAGAAAGCCACTCTAACCGCAATAAACATCAGCTTAAACAGAACGATCAAAAATAAACTTGTAGAAAGCTTAACAATAAGACCAAGTGCTATTATCTGTTGTTTACTTTAATTGATTGACGTTTTTTGTGTATTATCCATGAGGTACTAATCGTTGGTATAAAGAACAGAAAATTGTTCTATAACCTACCACAGACACTATGTCGTGTTCTAACGCGTGGAACTGCTCTGAATCTTGATTAGCTAACGCGTCGGAGTACGCAACATTCAGCAACTCTATACTGATGTCGATTTTAGACAATTCTGAGGAAAAAAATATATAACTAAACATTTAAATCTGAAGTAACTTTGGGTTAACGACTGACATCGTCCCAAGATTCAACTCAATTTGAACGGATATTACTCACACAACGACACACAACTAATCACAAAGAGAGCTCCTAAACGTTTACACTTTAACAGAGATGGAAGGATAAATGCAGCTTACAAAATGATAAAACTTACCATCAGTAGTTTTAACATTGACAGTGAATATACACTTTTGGACGTTCGATGACGCGTCGCTGCAGGTATACGACACATCAGTGACGCCTTTGTAGAAAATAGAGCCTGGCTCTTGAGAAGCTGTTAAATTATATCTATATGAATTATCCATGCAAGATGGTGGCTCCCAGGAAATGTCTTCGGTTTGCTCCGATGTGTAGTAATCAGGAATGACATAGTTGATTGATTCAGGGCATCTAGATAAAACGGGTTTTTCTGTGTCTACAGTAAATAAAGTAATAGAGAGGCTGAGGCCCAACGTTAATTTCTTAGACCTAAGGTTGTTTCTTTCTTTCTTTCTTTCTTTTTTATTCAGAATTCAAAACAACCACACCAATACAAAACAAACAATATCATAAACAGAATTCTGGGATAATAAAACACACTAAAGTAGCTAAACGGCCGACTTGTTTCCATTGTGGTCCCTGAAAAAATAAAATAACAAACTGAAAAAAAATATGAAAAATTTAACTCTGTAAACAAACCATTTGCCTCTCGGGAAAAAAGCAGTTATTTATCCCTCCCCACTGTCCCTTTTTGATAATATTGAATACAGATGTAACTTTAATTTCTTTTTTAACATTGACATACTTTAATTTCCTGAACTTGATTAGTAGGTAGCAAGTTTCCCAAAGGCAAATGGTTGACAACAAAGTTGATTACAATTACTACCTTGTTTACCTCTAAAAAATTTAAAATCTTGTGTTGTAACTATATACATTATTTGCCTTCAAAATCCCTTCTTTTAAATATTCTGGACATGCATCATTCAAAATTTTAAACATAGGCCTATGATTTAACTTAATATGTGCTACTCGGAGAACCGGTAACCAATTTATAGTATCTGGAATTCCTTGGAACCTAGACTTCAAACTCAGAACGCGTATTTATTCTGCGCGGTTCATTTTTTACGGCCTGTTTTAAACCAGAACACCATATAGGCCTGGCCTACTACTGCCGTAGTCATAATGACTAAGAATAAGTGTTAAGGCGAGGAGCTTCAAAATACTAAAACATAAGTACTTCTTGTTTTTATAAAGGAATTTTATTCGGCTATTAACCTTTCTTATTACTTTTAAGGCAATGTTCTCCCCACTCAAATGTTGATCAAGATTCAACCCTAAATAATTAACATTGGTTTTATTTATAATTTCGGAGCCATAAAAAGTATTTTCACTCTCAGGCTGTTTTACCCACATGTAGGGTTAATTTATTATCTATCTGAGCCATTCATTAACTGATTTGAGTTCCCGTTCAAGTTGATTTTGTATGATATCAACACTTTTATGAGAAACTACCAGAGCCGAATCATCCGCGTAGAATAATTTACAACTATTAGCAGCTACCATATCGTAAACGTACGTTAGAAAAAGGGCGATGCCCAAAATAGACCATTGGGGGACTCCGTGACTGATTTTAGATAGGGCTTACATTTGAAAATGAACCATCAATATAAACTATTTGATTCCGATCCCTAAGATAAGAGTCGAACCATAAGACTGTCTGATCAGCCAGACCCATCGCTTTCAACTTTCCCAATAAAATACCATGATTTTATACCGTGTCGAACGCTTTGATTAGGTCTAGAACAACCATACCAGTAAAGTTACTACGGTCCCCATCCTTTCTTTGTGGTCCCCATCCTTTCTTTGTGGTCCGACAGGTGAATTAGGCATGAGTCTGTTGAAAACGATTGTCTGAATCCAGACTGTAACTCATATAATAACGATGCATCACTGTTAAATTAGTAGTTATAGGGCCATAGTGCCTTATATGTAACTCATGTGGAAGCATGCTAATGATAGTTTAAAATCAACCAATACATGGAAAACACGCAGACAATGTTTGACTTTTTTTTCGCTACGACCGTTACAAAATATTCTGAGTTAAATCCTTTGTATCCTTTGAAAACGGAGTCTCTGTTAACTCCATGTTCGAAGTATTTTATGTAAATAATCATAAACCTATAGTTAACAGCAGAGCACGTAAAGAAAAAAATATCGCTTATACCAACAAGGAAATAGGTATGTTAAGACTGCCGCATGCCATTTTTGACCAATTTCAATTGTATTTGAATATAAAAGCAAAGCGGTCACCTGCAGTTCACAGCACGGAATAGCAAAGTCTGTTTACACAAAACAATACAAAGATACCGGCCGTAATTTAAACCGACATTGAGAATGAATACAACTATAAGGTTAAACTTTTCCAGATTTAATGAGAGTAGGTCTACAAAACTCACAACTCTGGTACTAGGGACCCGAGTGCAGCCTACAGAAGACATCATAGAGGGAAGAATGAGAGGTGTGTTTCTCCTCGAAAATCCGGATTGCAATTTTTGTAAGGGAATGTTTCACATCGAAGTGGATTGAAGTCCCATGTCAATTAGGCTTTTGCGGGTGTCCAGCAAGTCTCCCTCACACAAGCAAGGATCTCCTGGAAGGGACTTTTCCCAACTTGGATTCCCTAAATTTGTAAATATTCTCACCTTTAATAATTACGGTAAATGTACAAGTTGCACTGTTGTCAAATGCATCGGTGGCTGTGTAACTGACTATAGTAGATCCAATATAGAACCGGTCGCCTGGGCTATGATTCTGTATTATCGATGTGATTTCCGAGCTGTCTTGAAACACAGGAGGCTCCCATTGGACGGTTGTGTAGTTTGTACCTGTAATGGTCGATCTAGTCAAGTCGTAAGGGCAACCTTCAATCGATGGATTCGTGCTGTCTTGAGAAATATGGTTAAGAAAAATGATCGTCATAATGAATAGTAGACCTTTTTTTTTTTATTTATACAGGAAAATTTAAATTATTATAAACATCTACAATTCTTGCTCTTAATATACGTAAGATTTACATTTTAAATTTAAAACGTTCCATTTCGTATATTTTAAGGACGATAACCATATTTGTCAGTTATTTATTTGAGGTCATCCATGCTCTAATTTTAAAAGTCCTTGTTGTCAAAGATGCTCTTTAAGATGCTCATGTGCTGTTAATTTGTCTAAATATATTATTAATTAAGCCCATGTCTCAATACCAGCGTCCAGTGGACCTTTCCTGGATTTCAAACTTAACAACTGACTAATCAAAACGTGGTGTTCAATAGAAATACGCATATGCCCCACAATTACACACGTTTACGAGTGTACGTCATGGCTGTCGTTTTATCTTAGCAACAATATTCACTGGGCCAGTCTTATTGCAACTTACCGATTAGCCGCTTCCAGTGGACATAACTGCTATCAGTTTGCACTGACACTCCATCCATACTAATATCTTTCCGACTTAATACACATCTTTGGTCGGCCTCTTTCAAGTCAACAGAATGGCAGACAAAGTCTCTCTCTTCTATACACGCGATGAGACAGTCCACTTCATTGGCAGTAATGATTTTATCGTCTTCACCAACTAGGTAGACACCATTAGTTTTTGCGAAGAGATTATGAGGATAACCTTTGAAAAGAAGGGAAACATATTTTACTGTTTCTCAAGAATAACCTATTAAGAGGGTTATAATACCAAGTTCTTCATTGGTATTAATGATGCCAAATAACAGTCAAATCAACATTATTGCTTTACCACCGGTCTTTGAACGTGTTCATTTTATCGGCGGTCCAGTTTAGTTATCATCCATCTGAAATATGAAATATGAAAGTTTGTGTTGAGCATTGTTCTCTATTGCTGTCCTCTCCAACGTCTACTAGGATCTCCTGCTTCTTGAAACCTTTTAGTCAAAATAAGGATTAGCCTACTTAAAGTTTTTGTTTTTTTTAACCCCATGGCAATCCTGGCAACGGCCCTAAGATGATTTCGTCGACAGTCGGCTGAAAGTGTTTGCCCTTATTACTTACCGACAACAGAAACTGTGAAATTACAGGTGGTCGAATCTGAATCCGTGGAGAGTGTGTATTCAATGATTGTGTCACCAAAAGGGAACTTTTCCTCTGGATGATCCCTGATTAGCGACCATATCTCTGTACCAATAGCCGTCCCGTTAATTTCTGGTTCTGTCCAAGAAACATTCGCGAAAAGGTTCCCATCTTGATCCATATATTCAAAGGGCTTCACCACGTCGTTTGGACACACTAGAAGTGATCGTAAATCAACGCCTATTACAAGAAATCAAATACGGATTTATTATAAGTAAACATTATTATGATTATGATTCCGTGCTAAAGCTAAAATAAAATATACTAAACATTACTCTAATAATTTAAGTAGGCAATGTAGAAACAAAACGAGAGGGGTCATAGCCCTCTAGAGGACGTATTTAACAAGGTTAAAAGTCCAGAGGGAATATGTTTAATATGTCGTACAGCTGATTTTTCTAAGACACCAAAAAAGGTTTTTGACGAAAAAATCGTGGACGGTTAATCGTGGAGAGGTAGATTTTTGAATATTCAAAAAATGAGGGAAAAGTGGTTTTGAGGTCGTATTGACCCTTTATTAAACAAATTGTTATGTTCTCCTGTGACAATACAATTGAGATAATTGAGGTTGAGACATAAGCATATTGTTTCTATATTTCTATGCAAGATACCATCCTATAACAATTGGACTCACAAATGAAGACTTCGCTGGGAGAAATACAGTCGGGGATTATTGTCCCTACCTGGAGTACAACGTGTCTGTACCGTAATTGGTGACTTGGGCATGTTCTGTAATTCCATAGGCCTCAACGGAACACCGCCTAAACCCATTTCCTGACCAAATTACCCAACCAAAGGACCAACGCCTGATTTCCTTAAAATCGCTACTGTCGCTCTACAAAAGTTTTCAGTGCAGGTTCAACCTTTCCGAAAGCTGTCGGCGATAGTACGATTGTATGGAAAACAAGCCTAACTCGTTTTCCAACATACAGTTCAATCTTGGATATGGATATGTTTTTGTTGTAGACAACACTCAACACTTGATAGGCTATGCCTATAATAAAATTAGCATTAATGTGTTGGTTCCATGACGGGTGGGGTCATTTCAATAAAATAAAACCTTTATAGAAAATTTTCTTAATCACCCTGCTTTAGTCGGACCGTGTCTCTAACCACCACCCCGCCATCTAACACTAAATACTTCCTAAATACCATAGTAATAACAGGGTAATAAAGATTATTCGGCAATTTGTTGGTGTTTGCTCTGAATATTAATCATAACAAATCTAACAAAAATAAAATATGCTGTACCGCTGATATTTCGTTAAGGCCTAATTCTTCGATAAGCCTAAAAAGGCCTAATGAGTATTAAAAAAAATACGCTACTGGGTACTATGAATACGCCTGAGAGTATTGTTTAAATGTTGGACAAGGAAAAAACACACTTTCTTACCATGACAGACTATCACGAGAGAGAAAAGAAGAAACAATATATGTACGCCTGTCGTAAGTCCAGCCATGGGTTCTTCAAAAAAATAGTAGGCTATGGCAAGTAAAGTTAAACCGTTAGGCATAAAATATTAGACAGGTAAATCCCGACGCTTAATCTCTGGGTTCATTCACTAATACGTTGATTTACCAGTTGATTCACAATTATATATGAGCTGCAATCATGAACTCGCCGAGCTGAATAGATCGTAGGTTAACTATACTGAACAAGCATTGTGGGGTCTTTTGAAGTAATGCTTCATTCATTATACTTCCAAATAAAAGCCACAAATTTGACCTTAGTTCTTGTTTGATTATTTACTTAGTGACGAATACCGTACTAAGGAAATGTAAAAATTATTTACATCGACAAGTCTACAGATCAGAAAATTACATTAAAAAAAAGTTCACCATGATATAGTGAATTCGATATCCAACGTTGTTACATAAAAATGTTATTTTTCTTATTACTGTAAAATATACTACATTGGGACTATTTACTTTTATGTCAAACACGGAGATTCATGTTAAACAAAGCAGTTTATACCACCGTTCCGCAACATGGGTCGCGACCCAATGTTTGGGTCGTGAAAAATGTTTGATGGGTCGCATAATCTCTTCAGATCGTGAAAACTTTACTTAATACGAATGAGGACAAACAAAATCAAATTACAGTAAACGAAAGTGTGGCATGTGCGTCAGTTTACTTTTGTAATGCGTGCGTTAATCATAGTTTCATGTTAAAAATATACTATAAAAACATTTGTACTTCAGGAATGACAACTTGAAAGTGTTAGTTTTGTTAATTTCAGTGTTTGGCTTTCAGCTGAAAATTATTACGAAGAAAACATTTTTCAATTTTATATGCCTATGTCCTCCCATAACCCACAAATACCCATATAAGGAATTTGTAATAAAATTAATAAAAACAATCTTGATCTTATTGAAAAATTTGATGTGGTTTGGTTAAATGAGTAATTCAAAGTTATGTTGTCATTCTTAGGTCTCTTAAATTGATGTTGCGGGTGATAGTATCTTTTAATTGACTGCCAAAAGAATCAAGTGGATGGTTCCTCTGATACCCGATATGTCTTATTAATCAACGGAAGTGATATATTGGCTTCGGGGTTCGATGGGTCGCGTCTGAGTGCTTGATATATAATTTGGGTCGGATGCGACCCAAATTATATATCAAGCACTTTTGGAAACAAAAGGATGCGAAACGGGGATGTAAACCACCTCGGTCCCACCATGGTTGGGGCTGAGGTAAGAAAATTCTCCATTTAAAAAATATTTTTGAACAATTTAGCCCATTTATGGGTCTAAATAATGCTATAAAAGCAGATATGTTTGAAAATGTCTGTGTCTGGGTGGGTCTTCACGATGCATTAGTTGGGAAATTTAAAGAGGGAGTTTCGCCAGAAAAGAGGGGGGTTTGCTAGAAAAGGGGTGTTCTCCCGAACCATAAAAATCCCACTGGATACGGGCCTGCTCAAATGTGGGTTTCAAGGAAACTTTACAGACGCGCGTATACAGACGTCAATCAACATTTCGTTGCTGAACTCAAAAAGGGAACTTATAATGTTCGTTAGAAAATGAAAAAAAAATCAATATTTTATAATAATAATAATAATAATAATAATAATAATAATAATAATAATAATAGGTCAATTTATAAGGCGCAAATAAACAAGGTTTCTAAACACCAAATAATAATAATAATAATAATAATAATATTAATAATAATAATAATATTGCAGCGTTCGTAAAATGTTTGACACTGGTGTGCTGGGAACAGTCACAAAAGTGGTGGGGGGGCACGGTCCCCCTGTAGGAAAAGTGGGAGAGTCATTTCTCCCTGCCCCCCTCCCCCGCTTCCGCCGCTTTTACAAAACCCTAATTTTTCACATAGACCGATTGTTTACCAGTAGTTCTCTGGTTCCCAAACTAACACATTAGAGAGAACGATACATTGAGTCAGCATAGATGTAGTCACAATGTGCATAAATATTATGTTATATATGTCTTCTTTTGGGTAAAGATAATAACTTAACGATAAAAATGATTTTATAAATTAATAATTGTAATGATGATTATGATGATAATAATGACGCTGATGATGATAATAATATAATATTCATTTTTTCAAAGATTTAATAGGGGTCAAAAACACCATGGTAACGTCTAACACTTCAGTGGTAACCCTGTTTTTTTGGACCTCCGTGATATTTCACTAAATTTGATGCTTTACTTGCTGTAGGCTTACTCTATACCAGCCAACATCAAATAATCGTAAATATATTTTTTAATATATAAATAAAAAGTGATATATGTATGTTTTTGCTAATCACAGAGGTTTTTGAGAAGGGGGTAAGAAAATATAACGTAAATACAATTATTTAATAATAGATAATAATTTCATAATACAGTAATATTTTTCATAATGATAAAAATAATTTTCATATTTTTCATACAATAATAATAATAATAATGTAATAATAAACATTACAGTATTATTGGATTATTATCAGGCCTATTGTTGTGTTTATTAGTATTCTTATCAGGCTTGTTGTTGCTTTTGTCAGAGCTATTGTTAGTATTGGCGTTGATTTTGTTGTTTTCTGGACTCGGGAAACTACAATTACAATTCCATGATAATTTATTCAAATTGTATGACAATTCAATACGGTATCCAATCATTGCCACTGGTTCTAACCATCCATAAATAGGATTGCGATTCGGTTCTATAAATCTGCCGGAAACACATTTCATTTTTATGAATAACCATATTAAATACCTATTTGCCCGGAGGTTTAACGACGCAACCACTGATAATGCATTATTGTCACGGGGAGGAGCAAGAGGGCGGTGATCAAACTTCAATTAAAAATAAGACGCGCAAGCACAAGTCGTCATATTAACGAGGTACGGTAAAGTTTGGATTTACAACCAGCCTTCCGCGAAAGCAATAAGTAGGCCCTACATCCCACAAGAATATTTTAACAGAATCTGGCTTAACAGGCCTTTGATAATTTCGCAGTATCCATATGTATATTTGATTTAGTTGGAAAGTTTGTTTATACATTCAACTGATTCCATTAAAATAGACGAGAAACACCACACTTCAGTAATGCTTGGTCAAACGTTTCGGTGGAAATGGCCAATAACACTTTGCATGCAAGGGGTAATTTTGTATTGTTTGATTTACAGTTGTTTTGCGTGGTATACTTTTACAACACAACCAATGAATGCTGCTGTTAGTGAAGGAGAGACTGCATCAATAAAATGTGAATGGGAACCTGACTTGCTTCCCGGACATAATTTAAAATGGGTCTTTTTTAGAGGCAACGATGTTATAACAGTAGGAGAAAGTTCCGATTCCAAATATATTTTGTCAAACGAGTCAAACTCCTCAACTCTGTT